GCTTCATTATCCAAGATTCAGCCCAGATATCATCTTTTTCCAAAGACCTTTTAAGGGCTACCCAGTCTAATGAGCTCTCTATTCACTGACATACCACTCTGTTCTAATGTATTACAACCTGCTATTTTCTTGTTTGTTTATCATCTGTCTCTCCCTGCTTTGCTTTACAGGCATTTCATGACCCGGGCCTGGTTTCCCCACAGACTCCATCATTCACCCCGGCTGCTTCTGCAGACCCACGGCACCCTGCTCTCTCTGGTTCCCAGCCTTTGCATGTGTTGTCTTTTCTACCTGGAGGCCTGCCCTTCACCTCACCTCCCACTTCACCCCCTCTCCTGGCTATACCAAACATAGAAATATTTCCTGACCCCCTAAATCAAGTTAATTCCTTGTTTTCTAAGTCAGCTCATCAGCCCTCAGCACCCTGTAGTTCAGGGGAAGGCATCACACAGGGAGGGCAGAGACGGAGCCCACCTTGTTCACCACAGTCCCACAAGCCTAGCACAGGTCCTGGTACATGGCAGGTGCATGGGCAAATGAAAGTTTGCTGCATCAACTGCACTGGAAGAACTTAGCTACTGCTGCTGGCGGCTGTCACATGGAGAGTTTCCAGGGAGACAGCTCTCATCCTGAGTTTGCTGAACTAAATCGAGAGCTGGGGCCAGGGAGAGCTCGAAGTAAACAGAGCCCAGTGTTGCTGGCTGTAAGTGAGCGCCTCAGCCTCTAGCTGGGCTAAGAGAAGGAATGAGAGTGTTCCAGGGACAGGAACACGAGCTGCTGGCAGTGAGCAGGGAGCTGGTGGGGAAACTACAAGTCATTCTCCCTGGATTGCGTGGGACTGAGGGGGAGGCGAGAAATGAGGCCAAACCACGAAGGGCTGTGTAAGCCTCGCTAAGGCGGTGAGCTTGATCCTAAAGGTATTGGGAAATCATTAAAGTGTCTGGAGCAGGGGTGAAATGGTCAGATCTACATCTAAACAGAAAAATCACAGCAGCTACAGGAGGCATCTTGGGATGGAAAGCTCCATCCTCAACCTAAATCCTTGGGTTCTCTCTTGAGCCACACCACACTGTACTTTCAGCTCTTACTCTTGACGAATTCCTAAATGGTACAGGATGCAAGGACTTCAGCAGAAATCTCTCTTCTTAACCCCCAATGGAGGGTTGAATGGTGGCCCCACAAAAGATATGTCTACATCAAAATCCCTGGAAAATGCAAATGTGACTTTATTTGGAAAAAGAGTCTTTGAAGGTGTAATTAAATTAAAGGTCTTGAGATGAGATCACCTAGGAGAGCCTTAAATCCAATGATAATGTGTCCTAGGAAGAGGCAGAAGAGGAGGCTGCATGGCCCAGGAGGCAGGACTTGGAGTGACGCTGCCACAAGCCTAGGAAACCAAGAATGACGCTGGAAGAGGCAAAGAACAAGTCTCCCTTAGAGCTTTCAGAGCCTCCTGCTGACACCTTGATTTTGGACTTCTGACTTCCAGAACTGTGAGAGAATACTTGTCTGTTGTTTGAAACCACCCCATTTGTGGTACTTGGTTATAATAGCCCTAGAAAACTAATATAACCCTGCTCTCGAACTAAGAAGCTTCATCCTCAGGTACTTTGGTCATCGGTGGACCTTTGTTGTTGTTGTTAATCTTCACCCGAAAATATTTTCTTCCATTGGTTTTTAGAGAGAGTGAAAGGGAGAGAGGGGAGAGAGAGAGAGATTGGTTGCTTCCCACACATGCCCCGACCAGGGTGGGAAATTGAACCTACAACCCAGGTACATGCCCTTGTCAGGGAATAGAGCCTGTGACCCTTGGGTATGAGGGGCCAGTGCTCTAACCACTGAGCAACACTGGCCAGGGCTATCATCAGTGAACCTTTAAAAACCAGAAAACTTCCTTTCTGTTTGGAAGGTGTGCTTGTGACAGAGGTAAGGAGCCAGACCAGACTACCAGGGGTTCCTTCTTCTCTGCACTGCTTGGAACTCAAAGGACACCTTTTCCCACACCAAGAAAGTGTATCACAGGGGTGAAAAGATGGACAAATCAGTGGAGCCAGGTCTTTGGCCAAGGTCCAAAGACTCAGAGTGAAGGTGGGGTGCTGGCAGGGCTCTTCAGGGACTAATGGTTTGGAAAGAGAAAGTAGGAGAGTGAGTTGCTCTGAAGTGCTGAGCAAAGATATGGCAGGGAGGTGGTTGTTCAAACAGGATTCCTAGCTTCAGGCGGCCAAGGGAGACTTGGTGCCCTGGAACATTCAGCCTACCCTTTAGGATAAGCTTACTGGGGCTGACCCTTGATAGGACTCAAGATAGGACTTCATTCATCAAGAGTTCCTTAAAGCACCCACTGTGTGCTGACTGCATTTTGCACTGTACCCATTTAGGCACCTCTTGGGGTAGAGTCAATATCTGCATTTCCAGACAGGGAGTAGCCAAGCCTACCTCTGAAAACATTGGTACTTGACCTTCAAATCTGCAGTGTCTCACTCTTTTTTGTGTGTGTTTAGAAAAGAAAGCAAGAATTTATTGACCGCAGCAAAAATATACTTAGGACAATGAAACAAGGAAGGGCACAGAAGCAGCAACAGGAGAGCCCAGGCTGGGCTGCTTTAGCTCACTGGGAAGTCAGAGAAAAAGGGGGCTTGGAGACAGGTTCAGGGGGTAAGCCTGGGACAAGCTGCCGCTGCCCATTGCTCCCCTGGCTGCAAGTCTCATGGGGTCCCTTAAAGATTAGGGGACACGTGCCTGTGGGGGAAGGAGATGCAGTGTCTCTTACCTGGGGAATCCTTAGCTAATCCTATAGACAAGTCAGGCTCCCCTGTTGGAGGCTACTCCTTTGGAGGACTATCAGCACTGTGGTGAGAACACGATGTGTGAGCATTCACGCATCTTTCTCCCTGACTAGCTGTACACACTGCAGTAACTAGCCTTGTCCCTGGCTCACTGTGGTGTCAATAAGAAGTTGTAGAACTAACAAGGTCAATTCTCAGATCCATCTGAGTTTTCAGAAGGAGAAAGTTTTCATCTGGTAGTTTCAAAGCCTCTGAGAACATCTATGGTAAGGGGCCCAGGCTTAATCTCAAGGAAAAGTAATTGGGATGAAAGGGAAAAGGTCCAGGGCATAAACAAAATGTATGTGGGAAGGAGAGGCATGAACCCTAAGCCCAGGGTTGCAAGAGGCCAAAATTTCACAACCCTTCCTCCGCAGGGATGGATCCTTGCAGCAACTGTCTGAAGTCTTGGTTAAGATTCCCAGACCTCCTTCCTTATAACCCCATCTCTCCGCCAACTCTCCCACTCCCAAACATGAAGCTCTCTCTGTGAATCGCATTTGGGCTCTACAACACCCATAATCTCACCAAAGTACGAAAGGGTGCCTGATGCATCACAAATCCTCCCCAAAGTGTCTTCTGCTTATATCGAAACAAAAGAATGATGTGGTAAGTCGGAGTTGCAGACTGGTTGCCCCCAGACCTTTCTGTGAAATGGAGCTGACAGTGCCCACCTCTGACGGGAGAAAATGCGAAAATGCCTTTGAGCACTCAGTGCAGTGCCCGGCCACTGTGGCACTGAGGTGGCGTGGGGCTAGCTGGGGCTAGCTGTGGTAGGAACCACGGCTGTTGTTAAAATTAGGACGGGCTCCCTGTAACCTGCGGATGAGGACATGTTTCCCTGTCCACCAAACAGGCAATCCAGCTGTCCCTTTGGAGATAGGCACCCCCAGCAGACAAGGCAAGGTTGTGGTCATTCATTCACTGTTATTAATTAAGCATTAGTCTTTTGCAGTTTGGGCAGATTTCATAAGATGCAGCCAAGGTTCTTGGCCTTAGCTTCTTAAAGAGAACTTCTTTCAATGTACAGTTGTCAGAAGGTTCCCTTGGATTGGATGAGGGGACAAGGAAGGAAAGTATCAAGAAAGGAAGGCGCCTGCTGAGTAGAGGACAGAAGGAGCAGCCAGTTAAGAAGGGTCTTGAGTGCTCTCGGCCTTCTTGTTCTGAGCCTCACCTCTTGCCTCTTCTCTGAAGTCCCATAGGTAGACCCTGCTTCATTATGCTTGCCTCTCTTTCTGTAGAAACCTGTTCTAAGGGAATAGCTTTATAGATTTGTTTATACTAACATGTAAAGGACTGCTGGGGCTTTATACTCGCTCATTTTTATAAGGCGGGAAGCTTTCAGTCAAAGAAATAAACACCTTCAGGCGAGTAGGGGAGGTAGAGGGCCTTCTCAGGGATTCAGAAAGCACACTGTCTACTCCATCGGAAAGCCAGCCAGTGTCTGACAGCCTGGCTGTTGTCGGGCTGGGGGCAAGGGGCTGGAGTGGGAAGGGTCAAGTCATGGGTGTTTATTTGAACTGACAGGAAATTCTGAACCCTCCGTTCTCTTCCTGGAAGTAGGAAAGTGGCCAGGAGAATGGGGGGAGGAGGGGAGAAGAAAGGCCACTAGATAGAGCAGAGGTACAGGAAGTAGGGAGGGGTTGCTCCCTGCAAATGCACATCTCGGGGGAGGTGGCGCTCTCAGGAGAGTGCAGAGCTCCATGTCTTCAAAGTGTGACTTTTCATGTAATGGAAAGTAGGGAGTCTTGAGGTACCCTCAGCCTCCTCCCTCGTGCCCCGCCCCCCGGCCTCATGAGCCATCCCAGGTCTTGGTTGGCATGTTGGAGAGGAGCTCACCTCATGGGCAGATGCAGCTAACCTGTAGCCACCCTGGATACTGCCCAGGACTCTCCATCCACCTCGCAGCCTGGGACCAAAGTAAGGCCTGGACCAGATTATGCTACTGGTGGGCAGTCGGGGGTTGGGAGGAGAAGTCAGGCTTCCAGAGAGGGCCAGAGCAAATACAGTGAAAAGGATTTGCGGGAAGTGCCACCTGCCCTCCCCATGGGGTGGCCCCACCCAGCAGCCCTCTCAGCTCAGGACTGCGTGAGGCCAGGGTGTGAAAAGCCTGGCTTCTGGCAGCCCTAGGAAGGTGGCTCCAAAATAGAGAAAGAGATGGGTCAGAGCCAGTCCTGGAACACAAACACCAGTATATTTTATGTGCACGAATGTGAAAAGAAAGACAAAGAGACTAACGGAGACAGAGCAGGCAATGGGCAAACAATCGAGAAGAGCTGCGGCAGTTGGGAGACAATCCCACCGCCTCAAAGGCCCTCTTGCAGAGCCAGGACCTGCAGCTCCTCCAGGTCTAGGGTTGCCTCAGGGTGGAAGGTATGCTCCCTCCCTTGGCCATAGCTCCTCCAGTGCTGGGCCTCTCTGCATCCCCTGCGACGTCTGCAGGGCCCGGAGCTTCATAAATACAGGTTCTCGTGAACTGACCCACGCAGGGGCTGCCTCCCCAGGAGACCCATGCAGAAGGCAAGGGATCAGGACAAAAGGCCCCATGGCCACTCCCTAGGTATTATTGCTGAGAATAAGCATAGGCCATTGAGATGCCATTATGACTCACTGGCATCAAAGGGAACAGGGCACAAGAGACAGGATACCTAGCGGACATGGAAGCAGTTCAACCATGCAGGGCAGCACATGGCAATCTGTAACTCAGAGATGCTGCAATGTCCAGCAGAGAGGCCCAGGACACCAGTTCATAAACAGCAAGCTGGCTCTCTCTGCCAGCACCCCTGCTGCCTGGCAGGGCTGGGATTACTCCAAACATTGAGTGCCTGGGCACTAAGGAATTGAGGCTCTGAAGATACCCAAAACAGAAGAGTTGAAGTCTGGGCTATCCCCGATGAACTCTGAGCCTGCAGATCCTGTGGTCAAGCCCTGGCTCATTGCCTCCCTTTGCTGGGGCTCTGTGCCCTACGAGGGACAACGGGAGCCATGGGGCACCTGAATGAAACAGGGACACAATGCTCTGTACATTGCCAGAGAGGCAGGCTTACCCCAGGACCTCCTGCACAGAAAAAAGATGGTGCTGAGGAATGACGATAGGGCAACATCTGGAGCAGCCAGATCCAGTAGGCCATCCAAGGGCTTGATCAGGCTGAGAATTGTGGAGGCCTCATGCTGAGAGACATCAATAAGCTGACCACCAGATTCCATCGTGGAAGGGAGAGCAAAGGTGGGTGGTATGGTCTAGGGGCCCACATGGGGGCCTGCAGGGGCGTTGGGGTCCAAGAGACTAAAATAGCATGGAGTTGGGAGAGAGGACCAAGGAAACAACTACCTAGAGGGAACAGGGAAGCCAGACAATCTTCTTCCTCTGGAATCCCCTCCAGCTGTAGATGGAAAGCAATCTACCCCCACTGGAAGCCTAAATCCCTAGAAGCCCCAAAGCCCTGGAATTGGGGTCACAGTAAAATCAAAGGTAGGACTAGCCCCAGGAGAATGTAGTTTGTGCCTAGATGTGAGGAGCCTACCCAGGACCCATCCTGTTGTGGACAGGGTCAACCGCAGAAAGCAACCCTGCCGAAGACAGTCTCCCATCCTTTCTCCCAACCCAAGTCACCACTCCTGCCCACATCCAGCCCACCTGTCCTGGCCCTGTGCTGTCTGCACGGTCTAGGTGGAGCAACACAGCAAGAAGAGGAGATTGTCTCCACAGGTGGCATTATCAGTTTTTAATGTTCTATAAAAAGGGAAAGGCTAATTTCTACCTAAGTCCTAGTGTGGTCAAAAAGAGACCATGTACCATGGAATAGGCTGTGTTCTGATGGACCCCTCCCCTTGGCAAGTGGGGCAGAGCCGAAAATGGGCTAGAGTGAGGTTTTCACCTGTCCACTGCCAGCAATGGACCTGTCATGGGCAACCAAGATAACAATGCCCATGAGTGTGGCAGGGTTAATACTGTTTGAGGAGCAAGCTCCAAGTGTCAGCCTTGCTGGGAAGGGTGGGGGTGGGGTAGCCCTGAGGAGGTTTTGCTGCAGGGCTAGGGCTATGACAGAACCAGAATGGACCCCTTCCCGCCAAGGATGGTCTCCAACACTGGATACTGCTCCCCCATCCCCTAGAATGCTAGATGCCCCTATGTGCCTCTTCCCCCCTCCCCACTGCACCCCCCCCACACACACACTGATTTGTCTCTAGGTCCCCACTGTGGATCTGTGGGGCCCATCTTGTCCTGGCTGTGTGTTGTGGGTATCATTCGTTTTCAGCTGGGCCACTGCGGGGAGGGGGCATGGGTGGAGAAGAGCACCAGGGGCACTGCCACAGCCCACCAGACTGGGGCAACAGTGGAAGGAAGGCTGCAGAGGGTGGGAAGGGTGTCTCAGGGTTCTATCTCTGGCAGCTGCTGTGTTAGCTGGGGAGTTGGAGTTGGGGGTTGGTGGGTGATTGACATGGATAAAGGGCTGATAGTGGTAAAGGCCTAGAAAATAGGAGAGAAAAGGGGAAACGCCACCAAATGCACAGGGACTGAAACCTCCCAAAGCCCAAGGTTGGTGGGAATCCAGCACCAGGGGGCCCCCAGAAGGCCAAGAGAGCAGCGTGGGGCCTTGGGGGAGGGGGAGGAGCCAAGGGAAGGCTTCTCAGCCCTTGCAGACTAGCATGGCTCCAAGCAGCCTCCCGGCTGCCCAGTCTCTCTTTAGGCTGCAGCTCAGCAGGCCCCCGGGGAGGTATTGGTTGCAAGCAAGCACCTGAATATTGCCTAATGAAACCAGCCAAAGCCCAACTAAACCAGGAGAGAGGGAACCAGGTGGCTGAGGCAGCAGCCCCAAGCCTTCTCAGACCTGCCTCCCACTTTCTGCCCATTTCTCAGTCTCTTAGCCAGGACAGGGCCTGCTGCTTCCAAAGTCACTCATGTAGTCTAGTTGCTGCGAAGCCTCAGGCCTCCTGCCTCCTGCCTCCAGTCTCTGAGCTGGGCTGAGATCCATGGACCAATCCCAAGTCCCTCTGCTGCCCCAACAGCCCGCCCCCAACACCAACCCACAGGGACAAAACGCGGGCTGTGTGCGCCCCACAGGGCTGAGGCAGGGGGACAGGGTGAGGCTTGTGCTGTACAGAAGGGGCAACTCCACCAGTGTGGTACTTTTCTCCACAGGGTTCATGAGAGACCCCTGCCCCCGCCCCCCCCACGAGTCCTCCATTCAGTCAGTCTTGATGTGGCCGTTGGCCAGGGCCAGGGGACCTCCGGGCTCCCCAGGCTCCCCAGGCTCGGCGTCCTTGTCGAAGCGGAGGCGGAGGGTGTTCCGGATGATGAACTGCTCCATGATGAGGGCCCCGCAGAACCAGGGCACGGCGTACTCCAGGGTGATGAGGCCCATGAAGTCAAAGTCGAACTGGGAGTAGTCCCAGGGGCAGGCGTTGAACTGGCGCAGGATGAAGCCGGTGGTGAACTCCCACAGGTAGGTCCAGAGCGTGTAGATGAGGCAGCGCACCAGCAGCGGGCACCGGCCCCGCAGGCGCAGGTACATGCGCTCCACGATCAGGATGGAGGTGCCGTAGATGAAGAGCGCCCACACGCTCGTGACCCCCGGGAACTTCCAGTTAAAGTTCACCACGAACTCCCAGGCCGCCGTGAACATCACCTCGCAGAAGTAGCCATGGATGGCGTACAGGTACCAGCGGGATAGCGCCGTCAGGGGCTCCACGGAAGCCATGGCACCGAGTGGGGCCAGCTGCTGGGGACAGAGAGGAGACAGGTGAGGGTGCGAAGGAGGGAGGCAGGGAGGGCTGAACCCCTCCTGCTGCCTTTCCACCACCCAGTCCAAGTCTCTGAAGTAACCAAGGTGGAGTGGATTTCAAACCTGCCTCTACCTTTCTCTTTGGTTACCAACCATAATCTTGACTTTATCCCATATTCCTTACCTGAGCCAGATGGGCATGAGAAATGAAGAAACCTCAGTGGTTTCCTCTAACTCTACTCAAATGCTTCTTCGAAGGAGGTGTCTACTACACTCCTTAGAGTAACTTTTTTGGATGACCTGTGGGAGAGTCAGCTATCCTGGCCCATCAATCACCCCCATTTCTAGGCTACTAGCTCATTTTTCACCAGGCACATCCGCTGGAGTCCCCATCTCTTCCCCCACTTCTTCTCAGGCAGTTCCACATCACTCATGTTTCTGAGATCTTTCTAAGCAAGCAGTCACATGTGTCTTTTATGTATGTGTGTTAACATGTACATAACCTAAAATTTACCATTTTAATCATTTTTAAGTGTACAGTGAAGTGGTAGTAAGTACATTCACACTGCTGCTGTGCAACCACCACCACCACCATCCATCTCCAGGACCTCTGCATTATTCCAAACTGAAATTCCATATTCATTAAACACTAACTCTCATCCCCTCCCCAGCCCATATCTACTTTCTGTCTCTATAAATTAGACTACTCTAGGTACCTTATTTAAATGGAATCATACAGTATCTGTACCTTTGTATCTGGCTTCTTTCACTTAGCACAGTATCTTCAAGGTTCATCCACATTGTAGCATATGTCAGAATTTCTTTCCCCTTTTAAGGCTGAATAACGTTCCATTGTGATCTATCTATCTAGATATATCACATCTTGTTTACTCATTTATCCATTAATGGGTTGCTCCTACCTTTTGGCTATTGTGAATAATGCTGCTTTGAACATGGGTGTACCGACATCTGCTTGAGTCCCTGCTTTCAACTCTTGGGTATATACTCAGAATTGGAGCTGTTGGATCATCTGGTCATTCTATTTTTATTTTTTGAGGTACGGCCTTGCTGTTTTCCATAGCGACTGTACCATTTTACATTCTCACCAGCAACGCACTGGTTCCAATTTCTCCGTATCCTTGCCAGCATTTGTTATTTTCCGGTTTTCTGAGGATGAACATCCTAATGGGTGTGAAGTTGTGGCTCCTTGTGGTCACATTTGTCCTTAATTGCTCCATTAAGCAGGGTTTTGGTGTTTTGTTTCGATGTTGAAAGGAAACCAGTGGGCTGACAGAGGAGAGAGTCTTCCCCTCCACTCCTATTCCCCTCCCCCTCCTGTCTTTTAAACCCAGTCTTCCAGGCCCAGCCCACAGGCCTCTTATTTCTCCTCACCCTTCACCAGCAACTGTCTGGACCACTCAGTGGCGCTTTATCAAATGCCACCTTATTTACTATTTTAGGCACATGCCCTTTTGATCCAACTAGCCCGTCCGTATACTCCTTGAGGGCAGCAAATGTTTCCAGTCTTCTGTTCTGCAGCCATGGCACAGGCCTCTCCTGGTGTGTCACTGTCTAAATGACACGTGTTGTTTATATAGATGGTGGGATGGGAGAGTTCAGAGCTGCATTGAGAACAGGAAGACAGAGCATGAGAACATGAATCCCAGTGCAGCCAGGTACCAGTGGACACCAGGCTTGACATCACTGTCAATCTCTTCTCCAAGTGGGAGAGGGGTCAGAGGTTAACAAGATGACATCTGCATTCTGCCCGCCTGTCTAGGAGCTCTAGTCACATCTTTCAGCTGCAGTGGGCCTAGTCACAAAATACCCACCCACGTGCATTGCTTTGTGGTCTTCCGAGCACTCTCATTCACATTTTGTCATTGGTTCTTACACAATTGAGATTCATGTGAAGGGCAGGTAGTTTTACTTCCCCCCCTTTTTTAAAAAAATCCTCACCTGAGGATGTGTTTTTCATTGATTTTAAAGGAAGGGAGAGAGAGAAAGAAACACTGATGTGAGAGAGAAACATCGATCAGTTGCCTCCCGTATGCACCCCAACCAGGGATCAAGCCTGCAACCTGGGCATGTGCCCTGACTGGGAATCGAACCCACCACCTTTCAATGTATGGGACATGAGCCACATTGGCCAAGGCTTTACTCCTGTTTTTTTAAGAGATACAGTTGGGGCTCAGAGAGAAGTCATCTGCCCCATATCCCAGGGCCAGTGAATGGAAGAGCTGAGACTAGAATCCATATCTCTTGACTTCTACTTCAAAATTCATATCACTACATACTACTGCCCATCTCCTAGGCATGAGTCCCTAATGTCACTCCCCTGTTCAAAAACATTCAATGGCTCCCCATTTCCTAATGAAACCCTGCAGCATCCTTGGTGTTCAGGACTCTCCATGATCTCACTCCAACCTACTTTTTCAGCCTCATTCTTATAGTCCAGCTCTCTCCGTCTTACTTCCATGCCTTTGAATATCCTATCCATTGTGTTACAAGTACAAGTACAAACCCAGCTTACAGGTTACCTTCAGAACAAAATCTTCTTCATCCTCTCAGACATAAGTCCTCTCCTCCTCCTCTGAACACTTATTTTGTCTCTCTTTGGTACACGTGATTTTCTGTTTTATTATGTTGATGACTTGGATTCCCCAGCCAGACATCTTTCCTGTGTTTTGCATCTATATATCCCACTCCTTCCTGCACACCTCCACTTAAATGTCCCATAGGCACCTCCAACTCCTTTCCTAAATCAAACTCATTATCTTTTCCCCAAAACCTGTTTTCCTCCTATGACCCATCCTAATTACTGGTACCACCATGCCCCTGGTTAGCAGCCAGAAGCCTTGGCTTCATTCTAGCTTCCTTTGCCACATCCCTACTATAACATGAGCTCCCTGAGAGTAAAGACCTTGTCTGCCTGGTTCAGCACTGTATCCCCCATACCTGGCACACAGTAAGCATTCCATAAAAAGAGCAAAGACATTTCTTACCAGTTAGCAATTACTACATAACACATCATCCCAAAACTCAGTGGCTTAAATATATTCTGATTTATTACTACAGCTCACCTGTCCATGGGTTGGCAGATCTTGGGATTCAAGACTTCCATCCCGAGACTACCAGTCTTCTGGAGGCTCTGTCCTGTTTTGCTGGGGTGGCTCTGCTCTGCTTGTCTCTCATCCTCTCTTGCGCCTAGGGAACTAGCCCCAGCATGTTCTTCTCATGGCCGGGGCAAAGGACCAAGAACAAACAAGCCCAATGGCACCAGTGCTTTTCAAGACTCTGGTTAAGTCAGGCCCACTAACATCTTATTGGCTGACGCAAGTCACATGGCAAAGCACCAAGTCAGCTATTAATGCCTGTCCTTTCTACCTCTTAAATATCTTTGAAATCCATCTTCTTCTCTTCATTCCTCTTTCTCATTGCTGCTGCTCTGGTTCAAGCTTTTGTCATCTCTCACCTGGATGACTCCAAAAGTCTCCCAGCTCCTCTCCCTCCTCGCCTCCATTCCAATTCACTCATCACACTATGCAAGAGTGTTTTCAAACAGCAATCTTTCTAAAATGCAAACCCAATGTTTCTCCCCACTTATTGCCCATTCATGAATCTTTAACGTTGTAAGGCCCAAACCCCTAGGTACAGCTGATAGAGGTGACCCCCCTCTACCTCAGATCCTGTCCTCCCAATCCTTTACATTGATGTTTTTGCTACCTGGAGTACCCATCCCAACTGCTACCTCTACCCCACCCCCACCATTGCCCTTGAACCCATAATCCTTCAAGATCTAGCTCCTCCATGAAGACTTTCCTAAGCACCTCCCACTCCAGGGCTGTCCACCGCCCTGTCTGTCACCTCTGCAGAGTTCAAGTCTGTGACACTTCACACTCAACTTTTCTATAACTCGTCTGAAGGCCAGCACTAGTAGCCACTTGATGAATGTTTGTTTAATACAAGGCTAAGAGACAAAAGCAGGATTCCAAATTGAATAATTAATATGATTTTGATTCAGCAAAGGCATAACATACGTGTAAATAGACAAAAAATTTAGCTGCAATCACCTCTGGAAGGTGAGTGACATAAGTGATTCTTATTTCCTTCTTTGTACTTTTCTGTCTAAAATTTTTTCTAACAAATATGCATAACTTTTATAAAAATAAATTTTACCTTAAAAAATTGTTAAATGAATATGTATTACTCATCTTTGTGCTTTATATATAGAAGATGCTCAATAAATTTGCCAGGCAAATGAACCTAAGAACACCTGAACTCACGTGAAATTAACACAGGTTCTTCCCCAACAACAAACCGTGACTCACAGGTTTGAATAGGGTTTAGTGGTTAAGTGCAGGGCCCCTACATCCTACCTGCCTGGGTTTGCATCCTGGCTGATATGCCCCACCTTCAGGATCTAGGGCATCTTACCTGACCTCTCTGTGCTTTGGTTTCCTTATAGGTAAAGTGGAGATAATATGAGTAACTATCCTTGAGTGTTACTGTGGGGATGAATGAGCTACTAAGAATACAGCTCAAGAAAGGGTGGCTATGTCCCTGGCACAGCGCCAGGCTTGCTGGTCAGCCTCTCCTGCTTAGAGTGCCCCCTTCGACCTGAGGCAGGGTCATCTGGTCCCTGCCCTCACTAGCAGCTGGCAGCCTTCTGTGCTAAGCAGGTCAGGTCTTTACCTCCACCCAAAACACCAACCTGGCAGCCAAATAACCCTGTGAAAACAATACCCGCACCAACAGCCAGCCCCAGGGAGAGTAAAACCTCAGCTGAGGATAGTCAGTGTGCGCTTCCAGCTTCCACACGACTGAGCGGGGGGGCGGCTCAGAACCAGCCCTTGAAGGCCAGGCTTGAGAAATAGGCTGACATGAAAGGGCCAGTGTTCCTGGCACAGCTCCTCACACCCTCACTTCACCCGGAACTCCCGAAAGACCGTTGTCTCCCGCCCCACTCAGGCCCCTCTGAACCTGCCTGTCCACCTGACCTGCACTTGAACCCACAGGATTGGGGGAGAGGCTTCCTATTCAGCCAGCAGCCCATTATTCAGGTCAGCTCCCACCTTGATGCTGATTTTTTAAAACTCTGCTCTTTTTGCCTCTTGGTGTCATCTTTGGGGACAACCAAGAACAGTTTCCCAGTTGGTAACAAATCAAGAGGCTGTTCCAGTCGCCCCTGGAGCAGGCAACTTGGAAGGGCTGGACCCCAAACCCTACAAGCAAAAGATTAAAGAGGTAGCTGTCACAGGGAGGGAGAGGGCTACAACACAAGAGAGGATGGGGGAGAGAACAGGGGTGCCAGAGGCCTGCATTGTTTCTGGAATCTTCCGTACCTGGAAGAACAGGGGTAGGTGGAGGGGAAGCATACCTAAGCAGGGTCAGACGGCTTCTGAGGTGTGGTGCCAAGAGAACATGCCTGGTCCATGCAAGACAAATGGGGAAACCCAGAAGTCCGGGCTGGGGCCAGGAGATGGGGGTGGAGACAGGGAACAGGGATGTGAGACAGTGTCATCAGCTGGGGTGGCAGGACACACTGTGGTGGGACAGGCACTAAGACCAGTGGCAGGCATTGGCTCGGGTGGATTTTCAGAATTCCACTCCCCAAACCCATGTCTAATAACCACACTTTGAGCTCACCCACCCTCTGCTAGGTCCAGCAGATACCTCTCCCTGCCCTGGCCTCCCCCACCTAAGCCTCTGCCCTGGACCCTTTCCTATTTCCTTGCTCAGCCCCGGGATCAGAATCCTGGGAAAGCCGGCTCAGGAGAAGCCAGCAGCACACTGAACACATTGGATGTTGGCCGCTTTCTACTGGTGACAAACACACCATCCTGAGAACCAGGACACAAAATTGGGACAGTCCAGGAAAGAAAATTTAGGTTGGAGTAGAGGAGGAGAGTGCGGGCAACTGAAGGCAGGGAAAAAAGTGTGGACAGTTTCACAAGAGGGATTTGGGGGAACAACACTCAAGTACAAGTGTTGATGAAACTCCTCATGCCTGTTGATCAACGGGCCTGGGAACAGAGAGTTCCAGCAAAGACCAGGACTCAAGGAGACTTGTAAGAGCAGGACGCCGCCCCTCCAAGGGGACGGGTGACTGGAGGGGAGGGGGCTGGCTTTCAGAGCCCTGTTCCCTAGGAGTACCTCACCTGCTGCTCTCAGGGCCTGCTGAGCTATTCTTAGGGTGCCAGAGAGCAGAGCAAGCAGGTGGGAGGAGCCAGGAGGCCAAAAAAGCCCAAGGCAGGCTGGAAGCAAAACCAGATGAGATGACTGTCCTTGGTTTTGTCAGAAACTCCCATCTTGTTCCAGGAAGCTGAGGTGCGAAAACACAATGACTCCGGGAATTTTTGTCCAGAGGGGCATCTTGCTAGAAAATCAGGCTTCCCCTCCATGTAGCCAGGCCAGTAGGCCTTCCTCTTTCACCCCACTTACTTCCCAAATTTCACTCCTGTCTTATGCGCTGGGAGACGCAGTGGGGGCACAGACCTGAGGGCAAGGTAGCGGGGGCACAGCTTGAGTGGCCGTGAGGCCAGTCCCCTGGCAGACCCTGTGCTGCAGGTGAGTGGAATCGATGAGCTGCCCTTTCATCTGGGTGCAAGATGCAAGGTCTGAAACCATCCTGAGCTTCCGTTGTGGTCAACAAGTTGGTGGGAGGAAAACATGAGCTTCCTTCAGGTCCAGAAGAGAAGCAAGTGGGGGAAAATACCTGCGGCCACTGGCTGGCCCAGATACCAGAGTTCTACCCTCTCTTGCTGTGGGCATCCCCTGGGAAAGACCCTGAGATGGTCCTCCTCCCACCTCTTAGTCACAATAATATTAATAATCAGACAGTCTTCTCAGCACTTTCCATGTATTAATTCAGACATTCTTCAAGCCCATTTACAGATGGGGAAATTGAGGCAGAGAAAGGCTAAATAATTAACCTAAGTTCTTACGGCTATACAAGGCAGATGTGGGATTTGAGCCCAGCTCCAGAGCCTTCAGGCCTACCCAGCATACCGCACTGCTCGAGGCTGGCTACAGGCTCCTGAGGGCACTACCATTTTCCGAGTTTCTGCTTCTGGAAGGCTGGGATGGTATATGGAGAGACAGCAGGAAACAAGAAGGACATGAGATTCTAGGTAGATCATCAATGAAGCTCGGAATGTGTGTCAGAGTTACCAAAGGCTTTCAGACTATTCTAGGAGACCAAGTTCTGTTCTGAGGCCAAGGTCTGGCAGGATCCACACGAATGTTCTCTAGGGCCACAAGCTGACCCTCTCAGGACCGTGGCAGCCACCTCTGAGAACCTCAAAGCATGTGCCATTCAAAGATCCCTCACCAGGACACATATTACCTCGAGCCTCCCTGACTGCCAGCCCGCCCCAATGCTGCTGGGAATCTTAGATGGTCCAGCCCTGCCAGCCTAGAGCAGTGGCCAACATGCAGGCTGCCCAGAGAAGCCCTGTGCCTGGAGTAACAGCAACCAGAGCGTCAGGGGCAATCGTCCCACACAGGCCAGCTGGCAGGGGAGGATCTTAGAGGGTCTCAGATGCTAAGCAAATCCCAGCTGGCAGGCACGGGGGGGCAAGTGGACTTGAGAAATGAAGTCAGCCCTGGCACAGAGGTTCCCCAGGGCTCAAGCAATGAAGGGTACTCCGTGGATGAGGCCCACAGGTGGGCATCCTGTGCCTTGGCTCAAGGCTCTTCCCAGACCTCACATGGCTGCCTCCCTGTTGTCATTTAGGTCTCAGCTCAACTGTCACCCCTCAGAGACGTCTGATCTCCAATCCAAAACAGCCTCCCCGTCACTCATACCATCCCATTTAATTTTCTTCATAGCACTCTCACATTCTGATGGTTTGCTACTTACTCACTGTCTATCTCCCCCAATTAGAATGACAGCTCCACAAGGGCAGGGGCTCTGTCTTGTTCACTGCCAGGTAACCAGTGCCTACAACAGTGCCTACAACAGTGCCTGCAATAAGACCCACTAGTGCCTATGGAATGAATGAAAGAATGAATGGGCCTGAACAGACCCAGGCCCTTAAACACTGATGAGGGCAGGTAGAAGCAGCTAGCCAGCTCAGCCTCTCTAGTCGTCTCTTTCTTAAGAAATACAGCCTTTCTAAAAGTTTTAATTCTAGCATTTTAAAATATCTTTATTATCTTTTTTGATTACAAATATAACACGCTCACAGCTGAAATTTAAACATTACAGAAAGGAATGACTTAGAAAGCAAAGCCCCACAGCATCCCACATCATCGAGAAAGTCACCATTAATGGCGTGTTATATATTCACCCAGATTAAATTTCGTTTTAAAATCCATGCATCTTAGAGAGAAAAAGCATTCAAACTTCCACTATACTAGCAGCCAATATCACTTCCCCTTTGCAATCTTTTCTCACAAGTTTATTTTACAAGTTACCCTAATGTACTTATTCTGCAACCTGACGATATCACTTATTAGATCACAATTGTTTTCCCAAGTTGGTAGATGGCCTATGCACCCATTATTAAAATGGCTATGTAACACTCCACACGCAGAAACCTATAATTTACTTAACGTTGAAGTTCAACAAAGGGAGAACTGTTTCCATTTCCACCATTACAATGACACCATAAGACACATCTTTTTTATGCCTGTAACAAAATAATTCAGCCCTTTTCTTCTCTAGGACTGCTTGTTAATGAATCATTCCAGAAGTGCGATCACTAGGCAGAGGGTGCAACAGTTTTAAGGCTGACGATGTAGATGGCCCTGGGGAATTCTGTGTTATGTGGGGAAGAGGTCTCCTCCCTGAGTCACCGAGTTCCCACAGTGGCCTCCACGGCCATTTCTCCAACCTCATGCCACTCCCACCGTCCAGGCGCACTCACACCATCCCGGCTGCAGGTCAACCCGAGAACACACTTCCTGAAAGACCTTCCTATCACAAACCCACTCTGCAAGCCCAGACTCGGTGGAAAACAGATTCTAGCCCTGAATTTTATATTTTTAGCTAAAGCTGAGAAATCCCTGGTGACTCCTTTCCCTCCCTGCAAACTCCTGTGTGGAATCTGTTGCTCTGGCTCCCATGGACCAGCCCTGCTGCTCCTAAAAGCTTGTCCACTCAGGAGTGCAGAAGCGCCTGCTCTCCCTGCCCTGCCTTCGGAGGGGAGCTCTCTGCTGGCTGGTCCCTGGTCCCACAGAACAGCCTTCAGGCCAGACAGGCCTCTGGGGCTTGGGGATGCAGACAATTGTCATATTTAAAAGCATCATCCAGGGAAAGCCAGAGGCCAAGGCTGGGAAGACAGGCCATGTGAGGACAGGTAATGTTCCGTAGTTGGGGGCCTCTCGCCCTACACGAAGCTTATCTGAAGAGGAGACAGAGCTAACGGGACAAAAGCAGCAGATGGCTGGTTTTGCGGCAGCTCAGGTGCCACAAATCCCTCTCCTCCGAGTGCCCTGGATGCTCTACCTGGGTCACAGAAACTGATTGTGGCATCTGCGCAGAGTCGAAATCCCAGGGAAGAAACGGGTCTTATTGCCCAGAAGTGGAGCGCAAGGCTCAAAGCATCCATGAGCCTTCAGACAAGGAGAATTTGGGAAGAATTTCTCCTGGTGCTGGGTATTTCATGTCACTCACATCGCCAATTGGAGTCTGGCCCGGCTTTTAGAGGCCATGTGGCTATAAGATGGCTCCAGCATAGGACATGGCCTGAAGCTGCTGGACACTCCCCTCCTATTCCCCCCCTTATTCTTCCCTGGGACTATTTCTTAAGGCACAGTTCCAGAAGTGGGACCACTGGACAGAGGGCGCAAGAGCTCTGGCAGGCCCTCAGATGAAAAGCAGGCTCAGACCAGGACTTCCAGACCGGGGCCCCTGCTACTGGGGCAGGGAGGGCCCGTTATCCCCAGGGAGCCTGTAACATACTCACTTATCACACCCTTGAGTGCACAGCTCCGAAGAGACATCAGGATCACTGTCCAGGAGAGTCCCCAGTTCACCTTTGTCCTGGTGCCTGGTTGGGCAATAGTGCCATTCTCAGCAGTGTGGGTAAGCATTAGTCCCAGGGCTCAGCTGATCCTCAGCTAGTGGGCAAGTGGTTTCCATGTGTCCCTAGGAATAAAAGAGGAGGCGTTCTTTAGCTCAAAATGTCCCCAGCTCTGAGCCACCAGGACAGCCAGAGAAGCATCCTCAAGGCAAACACCACAAGGCCTCAGCTCCAGGCTCAGCACTCATCCTGCCCAGACTGTCTGACCCCTCTCCTGGAACCGGCCACCTCCTCTGTCCTGTCTGCTCAGGTCTGGGTAATCCAGCAGTAAGAGCCTGGGATCCATCCCAAGTCACATGAGGGGCCAGGACTTAGGACTTCTTTTACCGCAAGGGAATGTGTGCTCACTTATAAATCTGAGAGGAGATATATTTTTACAATCCAGCTCTATTCTCATTTAGCTTCAAATTACACTTTCAACTTCACCCTGCAGTGGGTACATCTGTTCTCAAGGGCGGTCAGGAGCCTTGTGGAGGGCAGGCAATGCAGGACACTGGTTTTAGTGTTTGGAGAGTTAGAACAACACAGAAAAACAAGCACACCATCAAAACAGGTGCTAAACCCTCTGCCCACAATTCCACCACCCTAATATTTGTTCCATTCTCTTATTTTATCATTAGTGTTGTTGAGGCCCTTCCTATTAACATTAGTAACTGACTTCAGCTGATCTAAATCTGACTTTATAACTCCCTGGCCACATACGAATTTTCAATATATCCCTGAGACTTGACCATTTCATAATTCCCACATGTTTTGTTTTACTGTGAAGGTGCTGACACTTCCCTAAAAACCCCTTGAGTACAGCTCCATCTGTATAAGTCCATGGGCAGGTCCAGCACGGCCCTGTGGAAGGACGCACTGGCCACTAAGAAGCAGAGAAGAGTATATGACTGGGGGTGGGAGTTGGCAACATCCCTGTGGATGGCCAAACAGGGTGGACAAAGGGGTGGCCACCCCATGTTGACACCCACCATCACCTTCCTCCCTGCCCGCCCCCCAGGCTCTCTCAGTGGGTGACTCAGGCCTCTGCTCCCTAAGCTGACAACTTGAAAGGCAGCGAGGGAGCTAAGTGAAAGGGCAGGGGTTGGGGACCTGAAATTCGTTGTGTGCACATGTGCTGGTGGGTGGTGACAGTGTGCACCCCCTGGGTGTCTCCCCAGCACTGGGAGAGGCCCCTCATGTGAAGTGAAGGGCAGAGGGTCTGATGGGCATTGGGCTCCTGGGCTCTGCCTCGCCTCTGTTCCTTCCCAGCTCCTCCACAAACAGGGGCCTCCAACCCTCCCCCTGGTCCAGCCTCCTCCCATGGCTCTGCCTGCCTGATGGTGGGCAAGGGGTCACCAAGGCACATACCTATCACCTGGAGAAAAGGCTTTAATGTTGCAGGCTCGACACCCAGCACCACCATGACCCTGTGTCTGGGCAATTCAATCCCACCCACGGGCACAGGCACCTCCCCTTCCCTGGGCCCTAACCAGGCCACATCCACAGCACAAGTAAAAACCAAAACAGAAACAGAAACCAAAGCCCACATCGTGGCAGCACAGCCTGCTGGTCGCTGCAGTCAGCCTGGGAGCCCAGCCCATTGCTGGCCGAGGCACTACCCTGGCAGATGAAGCCGCGGCGGTCAGAACAGGCTCCCTCCAGGGCCAGCCTCTCCCTGGGCGCCTCCTGATCTGGTCGTCCCCCGGGGAGCTGGTGGGAGCCGGATGAGGAGGTGATGGTATAGCAGGGGCCCCGGGCCTCTCCGACACTCCCTGCCCCCTTAGAGTAGGTCCCAGGGTACACAGGGCATTTGGCTCTTCTATGGACTTCAGGGCCTGAACCAGAAGTTTTTAGAGTATGTGAATGTGTGAGGAGCCCTGATAACACATGGGTAGAACTTAGACCTTTCTGAGTTTATCATCTCACATGATTCTCCCAAAACTCCTGTAGGGAGGGCAGAAATTATCACCCCTCACTCCCATTTTAGAGATGGAAACACTGAGTCTCAGGCTATTAAGAAATTAGGCCAAAACCACACATTTGATTCAAACCCTGGTCATCGGGCTCTGGAGTCACCCTTCTCCCCACAGGACGTGCCTTCGAACTGCTTGCCATCCAAATCTCATTCCTACAGCATGTGTCTGCAGGCACGCACGCACACACACACACGCTCCATTAAGTGTAATCTACTTAGTCCATTCTGTAAGCTGCTTAATTGTAAACATACAGTCGAGTCTGTCCTTACAGTTTTTCCCTCAACAGCCCAGGTGCCGCTAGGAGCTTGAAGGAGCAGAGACCACCACGTGGCTTCAAGCCCTCTCTACCTGCCTGCCTCTGCAGCCCACCACACCCATTCCCCCTTCAAGACCGTGCTCCCACCCCATCCCTTTGACGCTGACACCATTTTCCCATAGCCCCCATCAACCAATGATCCCACAGGCCTCCCAACAGCCTTCTATTGAAACACATTGTCCCATCTTAAAATCATTATGTCTGTTTCCCCTCCACATAATGAATTCCTTGAGACCATGGAATTTCTGTTGGATGGATAGATAAGCAAGGAAGAGACGGGTCCAGCTAAATTCTCAGGTGACTGCACCATGCAGTGTTATGAACCACACACAATGATGGCTGGGGACCTTCTCTCATTTTCAGGCTTCCATCGTGGCAGGGCTTCCTCCCACAAAGCACCATAAACATTGGTTTACAACAGTCAGGGCTGTCTCTGCAGATGAGATAAGAAATAAGGGTGCTCACGCTCCTTTTTCCCACCTCCAAGAGTCATCACCTGGATTGAGAGGTGCGGCTAGACGAGGTGGGTGCCTTGGGCCCAGGCAGTCCAGAAGACATGTCACACGAGAAAGTCGGGCAGGATCAGAGTGCCCCAGGCATCCCCATAGACACTGCAGGCTGCAAGCTCAGGTTTGGGCCAGAGAATAACAATGCCTATTCTGTTATTTCTACGATGTGCTGGCACTCGCCAAAGGCACATCCAGTTTTCATGCAAGTGGGATTCATTTCCCAAAGAGGTTTAACCAGCAGCTGCTGGCAGGAAATTCCTTCTGCATCATCTCTCTCCTCCCTGTAACTATGTAGGGTAAGCTGGGCCTGCAGGATTGACTCTCTGCTTCTCTGACTGGAACCCAAAAGCCAAATCTATCCCCCACCCCCCACCCCCACAGCCCGGAACCTGAGACTGGAGCCAGGAAGCAGCAGCAAAACACTGTCCCTCTAGCTCTCTTACTCTCCTCTTCCTTAACTCTCTCCAAATCTCCTTCACCCCAGACACCCATAAAGAAAAAGAAGATGCCCTAAAGGCCTAGTGGGGAGTCCTCTGGTTACTCAAAATCCCCCCCAGTTCTTCCCATGTGACACAGAACAAATGCTTTCACTTGTCTTGTAGTAAGACCAGCCCTGAACATGAGTGGATTTGGCAACTTCCCAAACCGAGGAGTGACCACATTCAGCTACAAATGCAACTGGAATTCCGAATCCCCCTGTGGAGCAAGGAGACCCAGGCCTAGGGACCTGACTGGCACAGGGAAGGTGGGTAAAGACAGGGGATGGACTCCATGGACCTTGCCCTTCTACTCTGGGTCCTCTCCCTCAGTGTTTGGAATCTGGGTTTCCCTGTCAGCTGACATCTTACCACCCTGCCTTCTGTCTCACCTGGAGGCCACCTGTCCCCTCCTCCCTCCCTCCTCCCCTCCATCCTGCTCTACTTTATATGCCCCTCCCAATGTTACCCCTGCACAAACCCTGACAGCCCAGCCCCTATACGTCGGAGGGTGGTCTCTGGCCCCATGCCCACTCCTTTCCCTCCCATCCCACCTCCTGGCACTGGGAACTGCTGCTTGCTGCCTGAAAGGCTGGACAGCTGCTGGGCTCTCTAATTAGCTGCCTGGCTGCCATCCCAGGGCCAGGCGTGTGTTACTGTAAAGAGCTGCCTCGCCTCCCCTTCATCGATAATCCCCTATGCGGACCACATCAGGTGGCAGCTGAAGGGCCCTAGAAATCCTCGTCACCCGAGACTAGCAAGGCTCCTCCTGGGAGCCAGGAAGGGACAGGCAGTGGTCCCACAGCCTCACTGATATAGGACCAGACATTTATTTATCTGTGTTCTCCTATTATTGCCATGTACTTAGGGTGTCCACAGGTTACCCCACCATACCATGCCTTTTTGGCAATGGGGACCCTGCCCCTCAGTTGCCTCACCAGCAGAGGCAGAAGGAAGCCCAGCAGGTCTTCCAGAGGCCTCAAAAGCATGACACCCAGTGCCCTACTTTTCACAGCTTTCTACAGCCAAGTCATCCCAGAGATCTCTAAACAACCAGGAGACCTGGTCCAAGAAGTCCTGTGGAGACTGGTTTGTTTACTCAAGGTATTGTATTCCAGTAGTCAACAAATACTTATTGAGTCTTCACTGAAGGCAGGCACTGTACTCAGTGTGAACAAGACAGTGTTCCCACCCCATCGGAACTCACAGGCTGTGGAGACAGACAATAGGTAAGCCAGCCAATGCATACTGTAATTTCTGATGTTGGGCCACAAAGAAGGGGAAAGGCCTGATAGGGAACAGAAAAAAACTGAATGTTAGAGAGTGAGTCTTAAACGTCCGTAAGGAGGTAGCATTTGGGCATGTATCAGAAAGATGCAAAGAGACCATGAGAAGAGTTTTGGGAAAAAACATTACAGGCAGAGGGGATAGTTCAGTGAAAAGACCCAGAGGAAGGAGCAAGCTAAACAAGTCTGAGAAATGGCAAGGCCAGAGTAACTAGAGTAGGTATAATTCAGGGGACAGAAACGTCCTACCCCTTATCGCAAAAGTCTTCTGGTGGTCCCTGCAATGCCATCTGGGCCATGGGAAAGCCCCCAGTTGCCAAGTGAATGTCGCCAGTCAATGAAGATTCCCCTTGTAGGCAGGGTCTGGAAACTGTGGGTCCTAGTCAGCTATTGTTTGGCACCATGTTTATCAACAAATGACGAGAAAGTAAGATCGAATGACTGATGGCGTGTAATTTCCATCTGCTTCTGATCAAAAGAATTTAAGTAACTTTACCAGGCCCTATCTTTAATAGGAAAG